TAGCGTGCATCTCAGCTCAGCACAAAACCTGCCTGATCTCTTGCCAGTGAACACTACCATTTATTGCTCCCACTACAAGAGCAATCTCATCAGAAGGGAATACGGACATCCTTAAAAGGATTTGCTGTTTATCATTGCCGCATGCTCTTTCAAATGACTCGATTAACTCTGTATAATCAAGTTAAGAGGCTACAGAGCTGCTCCTGTGCTATCTCAGATTGGCTGACATACGTGATGCTTCCCAAAATCTTGGAAGGAGGATGGCAGTGACAGAGAAACATTTTCCCTTTTCTTACAGCTTTGCTGCTATGCTAGCAGAGAAGAAACCTTCTGAAACCAGGAGCAAGCCTGATCCACACATGGCAGCTGTGTCTTTCAGCTGCATAACCTGCTGTCATGTTTTCTAACCTTTTTGAATGCTAGTGTTCTTGGAAAAAGGCAGTGTCTATAATTAGCTAAACATTTGCTTTTTAGTAACAATGAAATTTTGTATTCTTTATCAGCATTTTAATTAAATTATTGTTCATGGAAAACAGCAAGAAAAATTACTGCATTTCCTAGCAGGAATTGAACAAAGGAAGTCAAGCTAAACTTGGGCTGTTCTTTGCTTTTCCTGGTATTATTTGGGTACTTGTGCACAGAGTTTGTTTTGGGGTTTTTTTGGTGGTGGTTAGTTGGTTTGTTTAAATAGTCATTTTGGCGTTTGTCTTAGCCCATCAAGAGTTCCCAGATCACAGCTTTGCAACATCAGCCTAGTGTACTAGGTTCTGTTTTCTCTTGCAAACCCTCGACTTAGTGCTGTACTGAGCCCTCCTCTAGTACAGTTCTGCACTTCGAAATGCATCTGTGAGCACAGTGAAACCAAAATGACCATTTTCCTGCTCTAAGTGAAGTTTTAACTCTCAGTCAGGTACACTTGATACCAACAGAAAAGGTATTTAAAAAAAAAGTCAACACTAACAAATAATTTTAGGTTACTTTCATCTCCACTTTCCAGAAATATGTCTAGGTTTAGCCTGAGGCATACAGAAGTAAAGGGCAGGTTTAATGCACTAGTTGCAAAGTTACTTCAAGCCTCCTGACAAAACTGATGTTTGGGTTCTGTGTCTGTTTCTAACCTTACCTGAACAGAATTCCTTGAGGGGAAAAATAGTGTGTTACAGTTGTTTGTCTTAGCCTCTATGAAAACCACACAGAAGTATCTTGACTCATAGTGAAAGTCTGGCAACACTGCCACAATGCACATTTTCCTCTGCTCAATTGCTAGTAGGTGTTTTGAGGGTTGGGTTTTTTTTTTTTAAAAAAAAAAAAAAAAAAAACCACAAGTTCTAGAAACACCACCTTTATTGTTTCTGTAACACTTGAGCATAAATAGAAAGAACACATCTAGTGGCAAGAGGAACTTGCTCATGCTAGGTTTTCATGTATTACCAGTACGGGCAGGATTATTGCTAAGGTTCCAGCCACACACAAAACGCGTTTAACCTTTACCCAAGATGTATTTGTTAAGAAAATGGCTAATCATTTGCATTTTATTTCTCTGTTTCAGCAAGCCCTGACATTAATTGGCACATGATATTTCTTCTTATCAAGTATCAAAGTATAATATGCTCAAAACCTTAAAACAGCTACCTGATGATTCCACTACAAGCCTAGCAAGTCTTTTAAAATTAGGGTTTGGGGTTTTTTGGTGTTTGGGTTTTTTTTGTTTTCTGGGGTTTGTTTGTTTGTTTGTTTTTTAACAACCCTCCCCCCCCCATCCCCAAGCATGGTAGACTCGTATGAACGTAGTACAGCAATAGAAGGGACAGAATTTATTGTGATGCAGTGTTTGTGTAGGTGGTAGCACATACCGGGCTACTGGAAGACAGTATTTCCAGAGTAATTGGTACCTACTGGCATGATGGCCTGGAAAACACAACTAGCTCTATGGAATTTCTCCCTCCCTTTTAAAGTTGAAACCTTAAGTTTGGGGGCGGGGGGCAGGGAGAAAGTACGTTTGAAGCTAGGTTCAAAAGGATATTCAAAGCAGCCTCATTTAAACTTTAAAAGTACATCCATACAGCACTGCCTGTTTCCATACCTAGAAACAGACTTTAGGCAAAATCTCATCAGACTTTAGTACTCAGCAGTTTTGCATGACTAGCCCTCAAATACAATTTAATTCCCTTAATTAAATGAAAAAAAACAAACAAACAGAAAGAAGCAAAATGTATATTGAGCGCTATAAAAAAAAAGTTTTATCAACAGCACAAGTCCTAATGTATACAGATTTTGAGTTATTTGTTAATGAGGACTGTTTGGCTCTTCAGAGTGTCAGAAAAACTCTTCCAACGCAATTAAGCTAATGCCAAGCATATTTAATCAAGCATCACAATGGAAAAACTGACAGTTTTCTTACTGAAGAAAACCAAGACTGATTTACAGAAGCATTCTGTACAACTAAAGGGGTTTTAACCATTTTATTTGTCCATTTGGAATGATTAGTATTTATAATCAACATTATTAACCCACCTCTCAGTGAAAGACCTGACAGTTTGTTGTTATCAAACATATTACAGCCTGCTGAAGGGTGAAGAATTACAGACATATAAAGATGAATAACATTGTATCACCATTAGATCACTTACTCTGTTCATAACAGTTTAATCCTCTAACTTTATTAAGATTAGGGAAAAAAAATCAACACTTCCAGTGATAAAATACATTGTGTTTAGTACACAATATAACAGTACAGTTTATCATACTAGTGCGTTAAAAGGCAAAAAACTGGACAGCTCCTTTGGAATAACTGCGTCATTGCTGATCTCTCTCATACACAAACACTGCTTGCAGCCACACAAGCTACCAGGAAACCTCCAAGAAGTATCCTACTAGGAAAATCCATCACAGCTAAAATAAGTTCATTCAGAGAACTACTTCTCCTATACTCATATTACGTGAATATGAGAACCTAAAATTAGATTCCTTCACATCTGGAGTTGCCAGTGACATCCATTCTGAAATCAAGCAAGTAATGACCAGATTTGCATCCAGACTTCAACCATCAAATGAAAGAGAAGTGGAAAAATGGCTCTCATTTTTTACCCAGTTAAGTAAACAGTTATTTGGTATTTGGAAGCCTTCTACAAGAGTTTTAAAGTTTAGTTGTTTGGACCATTTTTCAAGGTTACTAGCATGTATCAAACTTGCATGTATGAATGATTCATAACCAAATCAACAGCTGTATCGGTATAATAGCTAAAAGATAAAACATTTTTACTTATTAGAGATAGAATTTTGAGATCTCTTCTCCAAAAGCTAATTTGGATGATAACCTTTATAAAAATTTTCCAGTAATGGTTCGTATTACATAAACTCTATATTAGATGACAATTCCGAAGACTGAAGTTAACACTTACTGGAAGCAGCCTTCAAAATAAAGTGGATCAGAATAATAATCTGTATAAATTGAAGTATACTGCAAATCTGTTTCGCAAGATACAGCCTGCTAAAGATAGCCTCATACAGGTATTAGTGCCCTACCAAGTCTGTGGAACTACTTGCTTGTCAATTAAATAGGATATGAATGTGAAAAGTAGATGGACAGAGGAGGCATTGTCGTTATGGCAACAGACATCATCTTGATTCAAACTGACCAACAGCAAACAAGGAAAATTCAGAAGCCAACTGAATTTGGGATGTCCGTGATGAAAATCCCATTCAGTCCCTCATCATATTCTCAATGAATCTTTTTTTGTAGCACAGTAACTTGGGACAAAAAAAATAAATGAAGCAACAGCAAAACAGAGTCCTTCCTTTCCCAAGGATCTGAAATTCCCTCTGAATTTTACTCCATGATGCCTAGGAAAAGTTTAAAACCAGACCGTAATGTGTCAGTACCATTGCCAGGCACTCTAAACAATTCTGCCTGTGTCCACCTGCTGTCACTTACCTTACGAATAGATTACAAGCTCTTAAGGGCAAAGACTATTTTTTTAAATTTTCCATCATACCAAGATGTGATAGTACCCATATCTCCTCTGTGCTACAGTAATATAATAAGTTAAATAACATTGTTATGCTTTAATTATTTTCTGCTCTAAGCTTTAGATCCATCAAAAGTGAAAGATGGTTGTCCAAGTTTCTAGGAACAAAAGGCCAGTTTTTCCACGTGACCTGACACAAAAGTAAGCACTCTCCTTGCCAGCATCCATGATGCAACATTTTTATTCTTTGAACCATGCTAAAAAAACCCAGGCTATCATTAACAAACTGCAAGTTATGATATCTTTTCATCCGTTTCAATCCTTTCATTGGAAAAAGGAGGTAGTTTAGAAGTAAGGCACATCCCGCACTGCCTGATCAGCCATAAGGCACATTTCCATTCCACTGAAAATATGATCTATTTTAAGGCTGGCAATGAAAGTTGGAAGAAGTAATCAGGAAGAAGTAATCAAATGCACTTGGAGTACTGTAATGTCTAGCTTCAGACTGGAGCAGAAAACCAGAAAAAAAAGTATCTTTTTTTTACTATAGAAAAACTAGGTACTTCATCCAAATGAAATCTGAAAATGACAGACCTACAAAAGTATGGGGCCACTGGGTCATAAGGCTTACTGGCATTTAATTCTTTCTTTCAGAGTGAAAGGAATGGACACAATCATGTAAGCATTAAAAATGCCTCCGTCTTCTGTTAACTTCTAAAGTTATCTTAAATGTGAGCTGGGAAGTTAAGATGTTGTTATGAAAAGAGATTTAAATCCATGATTTTGTTCTCATTATTACCTTGAGCTAAAATTTACCCTGAAAAACTGAAGGGCAAAGATCCCATAGCAACCAGGGGGTAAAGTTACAGTTGTGTTGATACCTACTCAAATAAACCTTTAACAAATAATGACAGAATTCAGATTTCTTGCCAACAGATCAATCTCGGCATAGCATTAAGTTGTCCTCAAAGTTTGAGCTGGCTCTTATTCAAAGTAAGATGAGAACTGGGTTGTGCAAGTGCAAAAGCCAACTCAGCTAGCTTCAACATGAAAGTTGTCAAACTGTGCAAACTCAAACGAGCGCGTCCCAATAGCAGCCCAGCCGTTACTTGGTTTAGAAATGGTGACATTCTCCCAGAGCGGGTAACCATTTAACAGTCCTGAGGCAGAAGTGCCCTGTCAAAAAAAGGAAGAAGTTAGCTTTGTTAAATCCAGTGATTGTGTTGACACTGAACCTACTCACATGGGAGAAGAGACAAGGCAGAAAGATGTCAAGTCAACTTTCAACTACATTTCACACATTTTCAATGCAGAGGCACTTCTAAATATTGCATAGAATCCTCCAGTGCCTATCAGCTCTATGAAACAGATCTAATGCCTTTACAGTGAATACAGAAAAGGCACATCTTCCCCTAACTCACAGTGTTGCAAACTCAGCAGAGAATCTGAAAGGTAAACTGGTTTTCCAGTTCCACAAGTCTTCCAGTTGTGTCAGGCTCCCTCAAACAGCCCAACTGTCTGAAGGGGATACGATACACCTGGCACTGATTCTGCAGAATTAGGCAAAAGTCAAAAGGAAACAGAGATGTATTTAAGTCATTAAGCTGAGAGCAAGAGGGGACAGGAGAACTTTAAGTATCACATTGCTTTTAAAATTAAAAACCGTTTCAGGAAGAGTTACAATTTACTGTGCCAGACTTCCACTACACAGTATTTAAAAAAAAAAAAAAAAAAGTACTTTGGTTTACTTATATTTCTTAATCTGAAAGACAATTACAGACACAGGGAAAAGCAAAGAATGCCTTTCAAGAAGAAGTCAGCATGAGAATTCTTCAAAGAGGGCTCTGCACTTCTGTCATTACATCAAAGACATATTTGGTACAAAATACTTTAACAGCACAGATGGAAGTTTGTGGCATCATAATTTTAAAATCACCACCACTGTTTTGTGTTTTAAACTATTTATGGTCATCTTCAGCATCCCATTCAGGTTAGCAAATGTCTTGGCCCATTTTACAGATAGTAATCACTGTCATAAGTGTGAGTGTACAAAAGTCAAAATGAAACTACATCCATTCCAGTGAATGCCTCAGGCACGAGTGTCCTTTTGTCTCCCAGTGTGAAAGAACAAAAGATAAAAAACAGCCTCTAACACTTACTGACATTTTAGAATCAGGGGAAGACTCAATGCATAATTTTAAAAGAGAGTTTGCTTCAGTAGAAGATCTCCCCAGCTGGGATTCAAGCTTTCCCACATTTCAGGCCACATTGAAGTTGCAAAGGTTACATTAGGCAAAGGGATTAGGCATTTAACAGAGGAGCTTAAAGCATTTCAGTTACTTGCACCAATGTCACACCTAGCTAAGTGCACAGGTATATTTAGAGTAGAGCTTGGGACTACTTTCCTCACCAAGTGACTATAGCCAAA